AGGGATGCCCTGCCTTCCTGTGCCTGTTACTGCTCACAGTACTGACTGGCTGGCTGAACCCTGCAAGATCAGAGAGAAAAAGAGATGATGAGGGGAGAATGACCACAGCCATCATTTACTGCGGGGACCTTCACGCTTACCACTCTGGCACAAACTTGCTCCAAGGCTGGTCGTTCCTCCTGTGTTTCCCTGCTGCTGAATTGGAACTCCCACCTCTGCCTCCTGCAAACTGCACATCAGTGCCCTGCCATCCCAGAACCCCGAACAGTGCTGCTGCTTTCAGTGGGGTACACCTACTTTTGCTGAGGAATCTGGTCAGTGGCACACCATAGCTTAACAATGCAACTGGGAAAACATTGCATGGGGGCAGAGTCATGCTACTTTTAAGGGCTAGAGGAAAAATAGTATTTTCTGACTTAGGGAGCATGCGTTTAGGAGAATTCTTGCTCTGTGCCCTAGGAGCATGGATTTTCCCAGTGTCCTACCAACCAGGCATTCTGTTTCTTGCTCTTAGCACAATGTCCTGTTTTTTGGTAACAAAACTGATCTATGTAAGAAAAGCAGAGAGGCAATAGGAGAGGGAAGACAAAGTAAACAAAAGCCACAGCTTCTCACACGGACAAAATATCTTGGCATTTTATGCTACTCTTAACCTTCCACTTTATTCCACTCTCCTAGCAAAGCAGATCAGTGCTGCTAAGAAGCAGACGATGGTGTGGAGGGTTGTGGCACTGGGCTTCCTTTTCAGTCTATGGTTGATGCCTATGCGAGCACAGTCACCACTGAAAACTTGAATAAACTGGGTACTTCCCCTCCCTGGAATAGTAAAGTTGACTCTAGGGCTCATTGTGGAGAAGCTTCGAGCCTCACTGTGGTAGAGTGCCACTGGAGATGTCCATTGGAGGCTATTGTTCACTCTTATAACACGTACCCAGCTGGGTTTTTTTTTGCTGTGGTATGCTGTTCCTATCTGGGTAGTTATCGGTGTTGTGAATTTTGCTCACATAAGTGACAATGACATACTTTTCAGATACACTGTTCATGTTGGACAGCTGAGCAGGCCCAGCGGGTGGTAATCAGTGGCATGAAGTCTGGAGGCCAGTAACTACCAGTATACATCAGGTGTCTGTGTTGGGTCCGCTCCTTTTCAACATCTTCATTCACGACCTGGCTGATGGGGCAGAGTGTGCCCTCAGCAAGGCTACAGATGGCACGTAACTGGGAGGGGTGGCTCTTACACCAGAGGGTCGTGCTGCCGTCCAGAGGGACCTCGACAGGCTGGAGAAGTGGGCTGACAGGAACCTCATGTAGTTCAGCAAAGGGCAGTGCCATGTCCTGCACCTGAGAAGGAACAGTCCCGTGCACCAGTTTGTGCTGGCTGGAAAGCAGCTTTGCAGAAAAAGGACCTGGGTTCCTGGTGGACTTCTGGAATGGACTTGTAATGGCCACATGAAATGTGCAGATAGAGCAGCAATGTGAGTGGATTGCTGTGAGACGAACATCAGAGAGAAAAGCCTGTCTTTATCTTCAGCCAAAAGAGCTTTTCCTTTCGTCTTAGGCAGTAGCTGCATTTCTCGGGAGAAACTTGCCACCTATCTCCCTTACTTCACAGCATTGTCTCTTACAGAAGTACGGGAGCTCTCCTGGATGTGCACAGTAGAAGTTAGGCCTGTGCTCTTCCCAGTACATCAGTCTTTGATGAAGGAAGTCATATAGGCTTGTTGCATAGGAAGTATGGGCTGGAGATTTTCAGCTCCTCACACTTCCTGTTCATCTGCAGTGTGCCTTAGGACCCCATCTCCTGTCACCATGGGGGCCTACAAGGAAGCTGGGGGGGACTTTTTACAAGGGCCTGTAGTGACAGGACAAGGGGTAATGGGTTTAAACTGAAAGTGGAGAGGTTTAGATTAGATATCAGGAAGAAGTTCTTCATGGAGACGGTGGTGAGGCACTGGAACAGGTTGCCCAGAGAAGCTGTGGATGTCCCCTCCCTGGAAGTGTTCAAGGCCAGGCTGGATGAGGCTTTGAGCAACCTGGTCTAGTGCAAGGTGTCCCTGCCCATGGCAGGGGGGTTGGAACTGGATGGTCTTTAAGGTCCCTTCCAACCCAAACCATTCCATGATTCTATCTCCAGCACTGACAGGACACTGAGAACTCTGTGCAGCCCTTCCACTTCCCTTTAATAGAATTGCTGTAGGGTTTGCATCGAGTCTCAAACCTTTCTTCGTGTACCATCAGAAGACTCACTGCAAGATGTGAAATAAAATCCAAATTTCTGTTGTGCTTCCCTGCATCAGCATTGAATATAAACCCATAGATCGTAGCTTTACACTAATTAAGTCTCTCTAATGAGTGCCCTTCCTGTTATTGCAGAGCATGGAAAAATTGCCAGAAATATATACATTTGGTTTTCAAAATGGAAAATGGATCATAAGGACAAAAGCATGCTTACAGTAAAGAATGCTAATTTAACTTAGAAACCTCTGCTTTAGCCTTACTGGAGCACAGACTAGCCTCTTAAAATCTGCATTTATTTGTTTGTGGCTGTAATTCAGAGTGGAACTCAAACCCCAGAAGGATTTTACTCAAATAATTTGTTTTGGGCTGGGCTTAAAGTTGCCAAATTTCAGAACAAAGGGAATCTTTATCTCAGAGTTTGTAAACTGGAAGTGAATTTCATAATACAAAATGTGTAAAATGCTTAACTATCATCACTATTGCAACACTACAGTATTTGAGTTAGATGTTTATCATGGCATAGCATTAAGGAAAATACAGCACTGTTTATAATCACAGACCTCAGTGTTTAGTCATATGAGATGAAGTGATGGAGGTACACGCATACACAGAGTTTTGGTGGGGTTTTTTGTGTCAGACATATAATAACATACTTGTACACTACTCAGGAGAAGACTCCTAATAAAACAGACAGTCAAAGCACACTGAATAATTAAAAAAAAAGTTTTAGATGCAGTACATTTTTGTCATGTCATATTTAAAGGTATTACTTGGCTTCAAAAGGGCTTGGATGTGCCAGTTGCTACCTTCATGGTTTACGCTGTGATTGCAATTGCTGTGTTGCAACCTAACACGAGAGACCAATTGTAATGGCTTGTGATCTCATATTCCTCATTTCTGATTAAGCTTTTCTGGCCTCCTCACATGGAAAACCAGAAATTTTTATTATTTTTTTGAGTTTTTATCACCTGCGGTGAATACATCAGTATGATGGCATGTTTAGTCACAGATTTTTACTGATGACTGAACAGATGAGACTTCGGGGTTGCTCCATTCAAAGTGGTTGGAGGAAATTCACAGATCAAAGGAAATAGAACTGGCCTTTTATGACTTGAACAGGATGGGTTTTCTTCACAACTCTTACATGGGTTTCCACAGATCCTTTATATATTTCACAGAAACGTTTCAAAGTAGAAAGTTTTATATCTTCCCTTAACATAGTACGAGAGCTGAGCTAAAAGAACACAGATACTTTATTTTGGATTTGTATGCTCTGCTTTAATCCACTGCCCTTTAAAGTATAACCCGTGATAGAAGGTTACCAGATTGTTTCCTGCTTTTGTTGCAGTGTACACTATCCTTTTTCTTTTTTAATAAAATACATGTTTCATTTTAACAACATTTATGAGCATTGTAATTTTTTTAAGGCAGAATCCTGAAAGATGCTGAGGAGCAATATTTCCCATATTTTTCAGTGAACATAAGTGTCTTCTGTGACATTCTCAGGAGTCTGATCATTATACTGGTATATAGCAGATGGGCATGACAGAGGGTGAGCTTTGGCAGCACCGTAAGGCAGATACCAGCTTTACTATGACCATCTCCAAGGGAGAGACAAGCACTCCAGCAGAACTTCAAGCTGCTACTTCCAGCTTATTTGGGGGGGAGAGGTGTGTGTCCTTTTTTTAGGTGCCTGTTACTGTGGTATTCCTAACAGTGACAAGTAAACAATCAGTTGCTCAAAATACTCCCGTTGTCTTATTTTGAATATTTGTGAAGTATTCTGTATTTATATAGTTCACTTGAGTGTTTGTACGTTTTTCAGTTAAATGAAATTACTGAGTTTAGTTTGACAGTATTAATAGTGTGCAGTACAAAGAAAGTCTAAAAATTGTACCAGGCCATTATTTTGATTCAAGAAGAAATATAATGGTTATTTCTGATTGAAATAAATGAAGAAGCAGTATATTTTATAGGGCATTCATCACGGACTTTGAGTAAGTAGGAAATTCTAAGGCAAAATAATTTGGAATGAGACTGCAAAATTGTGAAGACTGGAAATTAAAAATTACTGCCATATTTTGGATCTCTGTGGATAAAAGAAATGCGAGTTCTTTTTCTATTAACTTTTTTTCACAAATACCATTAGAAACATTTATTAGAAATTTAGAAAACTAATTTTATATGTATTCTAACTTTTATGCGTGAAAACTCCGCTACTTCCGCAAAGGCAGTGTTTAAGATATAAAACAGAATCTGTGCATATTTTCAACAAGGTATAAACTTCAACAACTCAGTTACCTTTTCTAGGAACAGTTCATGAGGTAACGTGAGAGTTAGTGTAATATCCCTACAAAAATCAGTCGCAGCAACTCTTATGGAATCTAGGAAGTGTGTAGCAAAGGTTCATGTGGGCTCCACTAGGAATGTTATAGGCTTCTGTGCATTTCAGTTTTGCTGATTTAAAGGCTTTTGCTTAATGTATGTCTGTCACTGACTACCATTAAGAAAAACAAAAATTATAAGACTTTTTGAATGTAAAAAATGGTTCATTTTTAAATGCTTCTGGTTCACATGTATTGCTCAGTTAACCTGAAACCGCTCTGCAAAGAGCAACATTTATGTAAAACCTAAGAGGATGCAAATATTGGTCAGACAGTGAAAAACAAGTAATGAATCCTCGTTTTCTAACACTAGGTTTTATTTGAATGACTAGTAGGGAATAATTTGCTGTATAACTTCTTTTTTTCATCACTTTTTAGGTCGAACTGTGCTGAAAATATCCGCAAACACATCTTACATACAGGAAAGCATGAAGGAGTAAAAATGTACAACTGTCCTAAGTGTGACTATGGAACCAATATCCCTGTGGAGTTTCGTAACCACTTGAAAGAACTACACCCAGATATTGAAAATCCTGATCTGGCGTACTTGCATGCTGGTAAGGTCATTCTTCCCTTTGCTTACAAATCCTCTGTTCTATGCGAGCATGCCTAAATGACTGCAGTGAGAAAGCTAGCTGATATGTTATTATCACTTACTCTGATGAAGAATTTGTTTCTTAAATGGGCTTAGTCATCTTGAAGTTTTTACAAAGGGTGAAGGGTATACGTTAAGAACTTAAATCCATTCATGTTTCACAAGCAAAGCTTGCAGTTTAGGACATAAACATCAGACCTGTGTGTTATTTAGATGCCTCTTCAACTAGATTTTGAAATCTAGTTGATCTTTGATAGAGAAATAATTTTTTAACATTTGTATTAAGTCCCTCTGCCCACCCTATTCCCCCAAGAATAGAAAAGAAATCATTAGGAAATAGAGTGGCAAATCAATGCACTGATTTAAAAATTCTTAGATTTCATTACAAAAAAGCAGACAGTGTTCAGTGTTAAAAGAGAGAACAGCAGAGGTCAATCAGTAACTTAGACGTATGTTTTGAGGATTTACATTACAGAGCACACATGGAAGTTGTTAGAGGAATACAAAACAAAAACATTGCTCTTGAAACAGGAATTAAAATAAAAAAAGTTGGAGTGTTTTAGGAACAAGATTTTTTTTTTTTTAGCTTCTACAGGTCAGAGTAGAAGGCAGAAGTTTAATGGGAGCATCAAGTTAGGAGAAAGGGAAGAGTTCAAAGGCAAGAGGTTAGGAGAAATAATACAAATTTAGGCTGGAGCTTGAATGAAATGTGATCTTAACTCAGAAGAGGCAGATAACTTAGACATCACAGGGCGGGAAGACAAATCAGAGCAGTGGGAAAAAAGAACAGATGGCGAGAAGAAAGAGTTGGGGAATCCAGAGGAGGAAGAAGCTATGTGGGCCAAATTCTCCCTAAGATGCAAATTAATCTTCTATTCAAGCACTACTATTAATACTGCCGTGTTAGATTTGAATCTCCTCCCATAAAGAGTTGATCTCATAGTTTTCTGAGACCCTCATACCTGTAAAAGACCACGACCTGGAGAGGTTTCATTCAGCTCTGTGCAGTGGGTAGGCTCAAGTTATTTTAAAACCTTTCAGTCTTCTCAAAATGACTCCTTGCTTTCCTCACTAGAGGCAGTGCATTATTTGTACCATATATTTCTATTTGCCAAGTATTCCACTTCATTTTGGAACCAATCATCATGTCATGTCAGCATATGGTGGATAATATCTGGATGTGCAAACAAAATGCTAGTTGGCAGAATACCAATTTCAAAATAGGTCAGAAAACTGATCACATTTCACCAGAGTTCTCACTAAAGTGAATGAATATTCAACTCGGAGCTTAAATCCAGACACTGTTGGATTTTTACTACAGTAATCCCATTCAATATGAAAAAGTAAAATGCAGATGAATGTAAGATGTAAAAGTAAAATTACAGATAGATGTAACACTGGTAGAATCACTAACATTTTTCAAAAATTACAAAATCTGTGTTAAGTTTTCTCTTACCTGTTCAAGACTATGTCTAGGTAAATGAAATCACATTGCAGCATGCTGTGGTTAAAACTCTTCAACCTGCTTGTCCTGACAGCCTAGGAAAACTGTCATCAGTGTGTTGTACACTAACAATATCTATTTTTTTATGTATTCATTCTTGTACTGGAGAAACCCCCTTGCACTAAACAGGGTGTTTGTACTGTGCAAACGTACTAGTACTGGCAAGAACTCGCCGTCACCTAATTATTGCCAGGCTAGCCTAGAACTGGTATACAACAAAAGTGGGTTGAAATACTGTTTGCATATCCCACCACTGAAAGGGCGATACTGTATTTTCCTTTCAGGGAGGATCAGTGCTAAAGCAGGACCTAGCTGACAATGGTGCATTCACTTGAGAATTAAAGGGGTTTTCATTTCTTCTTTTCCATTCATTTCTGACTGCTGGACATCTGAGAGTTAAAGGTTTTAGAGAAGATTTTTAGAGGAATGAGGGGATAACTCTCGTGCCTTGGCTAACAGCTCTTATCAAAATCAGATTTGTTCTGTGTCTGGTTCACAGTTACTGATTACTTATTGGTCATTGGCTGTACACGCAGAGAATCCACAACGCATCGTAGAACCCTTTAGGATGATATAAGTATGAAAGTGTCATACAAGATCGATTTTTGGTTTTAGCTTTAACGTATTTGTCTGTCTTTTGTGTTCTAATATTGCTTTGTAAGAGTAAAGCCAGCCACTTTGCTTCTTTGAGCAGAAGCAAAATAGAATTAAATCTCATCATGGGCAAAGAGACAGACGTCAACTCCAGCCGCTTCACAGGATCAGTCAGAAACTCCTTCACCAGAACCCAGCAAGAATGGAGCTGTGGGTACTTTTAAGATGTGGCTGGGAGTAAAAATCAAGTCTGTTTCTCCTCTGTGAAATTAAGATTATCAGTTGGATTTCTAATTCCAAATTAATGTTCCTTGTATTATAATGTTCTAATGCTAATTTCTGTTTAGCATTCTTTGGTAACTAATATACTGCTTTATGGGGTCAGTGGCAGTAAGGAGCTTAAAGAAGCTGCATTTCTAAATGAGAGGCTGCGGAAGGTGGAAGGCAGACCAGGTTAGCTTCTACATGAGTAAAGACAACACTGTGGTTGATAGGTGGTAGTACTTTCTGTTCAGTATCTCCGAAATCCTGTATAATGGGAGGAATTGACATGTGGAAATGCCACAAAGCCAAGTCTTCACACTTTCTTTTCCCTTTTTGATGCAGACTATCTCATAACAGGAGATATTTAACTTACAATTGTATTCCTTATAAGCCGTACAGAGTACCATTACATGCCTTAAAACATTAACAATCTAGGGAATATTTCTTTCTTTTATTTAAAGAATGTACAGCATTTGAACAGCAGACCTTTAAAGCACACAAACCAACAGGACATGTGCATCTTGAATTTGGCTATATTACACAGATTCACAGAGTGGTAGGGATTGGAAGGGCCCTCTAGAAACCATCTAGTCCAAGCCCCCTGCCAGAGCAGGATCACCCAGAGTAGGTCACACAGGAACAAGTCCAGGCAGCTTTGGAAAGTCTCCAGGGAAGGAGACTCCCCCCCCTCTCTGGGCAGCCTGTCCCAGTGCTCTGTCACCCTCACAGGGAAGAAGGGTTTCCTCATGTTCAGGCTGAACCTTCTGGTTTCCAGTTTATGGCCATTGCCCCTAGTCCTGTCACTGGGCACCACTGAGAAGAGCCTGGCCCCATCTTCCTGGCACCCACCCCTTAGATATTGATAAGCATGGATAAGATCCCCCCTCAGCCTCCTCTTCTCCAAGCTAAACAGACCCAGTTCTCTCAGCCTTTCCTCAGATGGAAAGTGCTCCAGGCCCTCAATCATCTTAGTGGCTGGACCCTCCCCAGTAATTCCTTGTCCTTCCTGAACTGAGGAGCCCAGAACTGGACACAGCACTCCAGGTGAGGCCTCCCCAGCGCAGAGTAGAGGGGAGGAATAACTTCCCTCGACCTGCTGGCCACGCTCCTCCTAATGCATCCCAGGATGCCATTGGCCACCTTGGCCATGAGGGCACACTGTTGGCTCATGGTCATCCTCTTGTTCACTGGGACTCCAATATGGCTTGAATTTGCTATATTACACTTTAAATACCAATTTACACATTTAATTTTCATGCGAATCATCAAATCTGTTTTGAAATGTCATTGTGTGTTGTTCTGTAAGACCATTATGCCTGTTTCTTGATATTTTCTGTCCTATTTTCTCAAGATCTGTTTTGAAATTGGATTTTGTTTAAAAACAAATCCAGAAATCACATGATTGCTGATTGTCCACAATATTAATTTATTTTCTTTTTAAAAATGACATTTAAGACACCAGTAGATTTTATAGCTGTTCTAGGACAGGGGTGGCCTCACTAGCAAGCTCAGGAATCCTGTAGTTAATGTTGTAGTCATGGAAGTTTGGTTCTAATGGAAGCTATTAATATTATTCTTGTTTTATCAATGCGCAAATCTGAAAACTTGTCATTGCAAATGGAAAGTTAATACAGTTAAGTGAGTGGTTTTTCATATCATGGTGATGACTAGCATTTTGATTTTTATTTTTTAATGAAAATCTTTTTTTGAGTTGCTCACTGTGGACTTGTCTGTATGGTGATTCTGAGAGTAAACTGAAGAAATCTTTGGATTGTTTCTTGTGTGCATTACATTTCCAAGTTTCTTGGATGTGTTTCTTCTTCCATCTCAATACTGAGTTGAACTGAGCCTGAATGTTTTGAAAGGTGGGACAGAGGAAGGGCCTGTACCTGTGGTAGAAGTTGAAAGGGATCAGTAGTCCGGCTCTCTTTCTCAGTGCTTTGTCCACTTTGGAACAGCATCACTTGGTAGGGAGAATTTCAGTTTGAAGTAGATGTTCATCAGTTAGGAGCTTTTGTCTTATAAACATTATGATACTATTATGATGCATTATTTATATCCAAACAGTGTAATATCTGTGCCTTGACATCTCTGTTATTCCAATAGCTGCAGAAACCATGTCGTCTCATTGTGTGCATAGTAGTCTTGTGTGGATACTAAACTGGACATAAGACCCAAAGCTCTTTAGAGAGAAGAGGAGCAGTTTGCTCATCATTGTTTTCATGGTCATGCTGTAAGTTATGTGATTATAGGGTTTTCTCTGTATCATTTCTGTGCTGCACTTTTAGAAGTGAACGTGATCTCCAAGAATGAATGCTACTCTAGGAAATCAGACGAAGTCAGTTTTCCATTGAGCTGCTGGTACAGTGGGCTTGCTCTCTGTCTGACTTTCCCCATGGGCAAAACAGGTGCAGTGCCTATATAGTTCATAGCACAAAGCTTTTGCTTGGAAATGGCTTCTCAGCAGTCAACTATGTGATTAGGGAACTGCTTAAGACATGGAACAAAAACTTTTGGAGGTGTTTTACTTAATTTCGTAGTCACACAAAATCTTTCTTGGAAGTCTTTTAAAATAAATCAGAGAAGGCAGATCAATTCAT